GTCCTCTGTAAGAGCAGTCAGTGCTCTTACCCACTGAGTCATCTCTCCAGCCCGTTTGGTCATTTTTGACACAAATGCATTTAATTAGCTACTTAAGCTGAGAAGGTCCAGAGATAGGTATAATCATTTTCATTGCACAGTTGAGAAAACTGAACAACCAGGAATTATGTCACTTGTAGGAAATTAGAAGTTTGGAGATTATTTACAAAACATCAGTATTTGTACAGCAGAGACTATTGGTTTTTCATACATTTTTAGAAATTTATTTTTATTTTACATGTGTTTTGGCTGCATGTGTGTAAATGCATCACGTGTGCAGTGATCACAGGAGCCAGAAGAGGATGCCAGATGTGCTGGAACTGAAGTTATGAGTAGTTGTTAGCCACTATGTGGGGACTGAGAACCAAACCCAGGTCCTCTGGAAGAGGAGCCAGTGCTCTTAATCACTGAGCCACCTCTTCAGCCCCAGCCCCCGATTTTCCATAACCCCCCTATTCTTCTTGCATAAAGAAAGGGTTTATACCTGTGCTTTGCTATAGACTCCATTTCCCAGGCTTCCGTGCAGGTAGGCCATGACCATGTAAGTGTTTTCACTACTGAAATGTGACCAGAAGCAATCTGTGTACATTCCTCCTCTTCTTGTTTAAAAGAAAATCATTGTCTTGAATTGTTCTTTTCTTGATTCTTGCTTTGAGCTGAAATCTGGACATGCATGAACCTATTTTATGCCAAAGAGAAAAAGACATGACCTTTAACACTTTCCAAACTACTCAAAGAGTGATTTTTAGACTACATGTCTCAGCATTTTCTGAGAGCTTGTTGTTATGTTAGACTCCATCTGAGATCAGTGGCATCCAGATTGGTATTTTGACAAGATACCAGGTGATCCATGTTCACCTTCCATTTAAGAATTACTTCTGCAGCAGGCAGCAGAGGAACGGCAGGGATGGAGCATTGGTCCATGACCAAGCTTTCTCTTGCTCGCCTCTGATTCCTCTACAACCCTCTTTCTACCTTCTTTTAGCAGTTGACAGGTGAGGCCTCTTTTCTTAAAGCAGCATGTATTCACTTGATATAATTTGCATCTTTTGTTGATCCAAAATTAGGTTTTGTATCCACATAGGAAATAGTTATTTAATATGGTTTCAAAGCAAAGTACTGTTCTAAGACATACACATACACATACACACACACACACACACACACACACACACATTTAACATTATTTAAGGCTAAGTTTTTTCCTCTATAAAACTATTATTCAGTGGAGAGAAAAACGCAGTAATTAAAATAACATTTGCTAGGCCGGGCGTGGTGGCGCAGGCCTTTAATTCTAGCACAGGCAGGGGGATCTCTGCGAGTTCAAGGCCAGCCTGGTCTACATAGTGAGTTCCAGGCCAGCTGGGGCTACAGGGAGACCCTGTCTCAAAAAGACCAATAAAATAAAATAATAGTTGCTATAAGAAAATCCAGAAGATATTTTCTATTTTTATTTATTTTCAAATATTTTATTTATTATTTTTATTTTTGTGTGTGTGTTGCCTACATGTATGTAAGTGCACCCATGTTGTGCAATGCCCATGGTCAGAAAAGGGCATTGGATTCCACTGGAACTGGAATTACAGATGGTTAGCTGCCATGTGGGTGCTGGGAATCCAACCTGAGTCCTCTGCAAGAGCAGCCAGTGCTCTTAACTGCTGAGCAAACTCTCCAGCTCACTGTTTTTTATTTTACTTACTTTTGGCAGTGTCTGGTAGACAGAATAACGCTCCTGAAAAGATGCCCACATCTGAATTCCCTGAGCTTGTGAATGTCCTTCCTTCAAATGGGGACTTACTGGTATGATTAGGCTAAGGAGAAAATTAGCCTTGATTATCCAGGTGAGGCCAGTGTAATCAATGGGATCTTATAAAGAGGGAGGCAGTGGCCAGAGTCAGAAGGAGCTGAGAAAGGTGTAGAGGTACCCATGACAGGGATGGAGTCAGCTGACACGTGGGCAGCTTGTAACATCTGGAAAAGACAAGGACCATATTTCTCCCTTAGTAACTCCAGAAGGGATGCAGCCCTGCCAACCCCCAAAAGGTTAAGGTTGTTCTTGTGCTGTGGACTACAAGACTGGCAGGAAAATTCATCATTGTGGCTTTAAACCATCAAGTTTCTGGCTGTTAGTTACAGCAGCCATGGGAAACTAATGCTTGGCTTTTTTAGGAAGGCCATCCTCATGCCTCAGTATCTCTGCATGGGCAGCTGGGCCAGTCCTTTCCTCATCCCTTGCAGGAGAAGGATATACTTGCCAATTGTGCAATCTTGCTTAGCCCACAGTCTTTTAAAAAAATTTTTATTTTATGTGTATGCGTGTATTGCCTGCATGTATGTGAATGCACCCGGGTCGTGCAGTGCCCCAGAGAACAGAAGAGACTTGTCGGAGCTCCTGGAACTGGAGTTACAGACAGTTGTTAGCGGCCATGTGGGTGGTGGGATTCAAGCCCAGGTCTGTCTGCAAAGAACAGTGTTCTTAACCACTGAGCTATCTCTCCAGCCCTACCTCACAGTCTTAGATCAAGGGTTGCTCATGCAGGTGGGAGCAGGAGTAGCCACTGTTTCCATGATAGGACCTTTCGTTGGTTTCCGGGTGCCCACCTCCCTTGGTCCGTTTCCTGTGTCACTTCATTGGTTTTCCTAGTGATTTTGTTAGCTAGCCTACATTTTGTCCATCAGTTCTTTGGCTTCTGTTGCTCCTAGCAAAGAGCTCCAATTTAGAGAGTTGCGGAGTTAAGGAATGCAGGACTCCGCTTCTCATCACGGGTCTCATTAAGAACTCGTGCTTGATTAATTTTACATCCTTCTAGATGAATGCCTTGGACTCATATTTGTTTAAAAAGAAAATAAAGATGTAATAGTGCTTGATAGGAAAGGGGGAATTGTAGGAATGAGTTTTATATTTATCTGAAAGAGTTAGCAATAAATGGGGGATTTTAAAGTTGGATGGAATTTTTGTTGGCCAGATGAGGACTAACACATTGTAAACAGTAACCAGTGCATTTTATAGTCTCTTTATTAAATATAATAGAGACCAAATCCTCTCAATTCCCAGCTCTTCTTCTTCTGAGTATATTAACAAAAAGATTTATTAAAAACCTGACATCTGGCCATACTCCACAGGTCTTATTCATAAACATGCAGGTTAAAATATTGCCTATTGGTTAAGGTCTTCATTAAAGAAGTCCACCTTAAAAAGAAGAGTGTATCTGCTATGTATAGCTGTCAGGGTTTGGCAACTACTAGGCAAGGTTGCTCTCATTGAGGGCTCCCTCTATCATTGAGCAAGACTAGCCTTGTGAATTTCTTTATATGTTTCCCTCTGTTTGCTATGGAGGCCACATTTGCTCCCATTTGTTTTAAATTTAGGTCAACAGATTCCCCCAGGGTTACTGAAGGAAGTTAGTTGTACCAAAGAGGGCAACTGTAAACAAACTCAATTTAGACCACTCATTCATTGGTCAGCCACAGAATGAGAAACCTTAAAACATGGGCTTTTACATCCAGTTATAATATTTGCCTGAGCCTCTGACAGCCACCGTTTCTGTTAGTAGGGGTGAGGGGATACACATGTTCAAGACATGGAAGTCTGAGGAGTTACTAAAGGCAACAGATGGATGTAGTGGGAGCACCATTCAGAGGATGGCCTCCGTTTGCATACTTCAACCTTTAGGCCTCTCTGAAAACTTCAACAAAGGGCAGCAAAGATTTTTCCACAAAGGACCTATGCAATGCACTTTTAGAGGAACTTTATACAATAAGCCTACCTATAGTCCGATAAATCATCCCCCTCCTCGCTTTTCTTGGTGGTTTTGAGACAGTGTCTCCCTGTAGTCCTAGCTGGCCTGGAACGCACATTGTAGACCAGGCTGGCCTCGAACTCACAGAGATACATCTACCTCTGCCTCCCAAGTGCTGGGATTAAAGGCGTGCGCCCCGCATGCCTTGCAGAGTATTTAGGTTGCTAGAAAAGTAGCAACTGGGGACAAAATAGGTCTGAATCTATAATCACTATTTTTTTTGGGGGTGTCTGAGACAGGGTCTCTATGTAGCCCCAGCTGTCCTGGAACTCACTATGTAGACCAGGGTGGCCTTGAACTCAGAGATCTGCCTGCCTCTGCCTCCTGAGTGCTAGGATTAAAGGCATGTGCCACCATGCCCGGCTAATCACTGCTTAAAAAAAAAATTTATGTGTATGAGTGTATTGCCTGCATGTATGTAAGTGCAGTGCAATGCCGCGGAGGTCAGAGGAGGGCTTCGGATTCCCCTGGAATTGGAGTTAAGGACGGTTTGTTGCCGCCATGTGGGTGCTGGGAATCGAAACCGGGTCCTTGGCAAGAGCAGTCAGCTCTTAACCGCTGAGCCATCTCTCCAGTCCCTGCATACTTCAGTTTATTATAAAGTCCTCTCAGTAAATGTGATACATAGAACCTAGTCTCCCCATTCTCATCTCTTCTGGGCACATTAGCAAGAGTCTTGTTTGTACAGACCCATCGTTTATGGAAACTGAGAGACACTTTAAAAAAAAGGAACACTACAAGCGGAATACCGGTGTTTCAGCTGTGTAAGAACAAGGACCACGTTGCCCAGCGGTGCCAGACAGCAGATGTGCACTGCACACGAGCACACCTGCTCACCCTCAAGCTCCAGTTCCATTTCCACTCCCTCCCTCATCCCGCCCCTCTCTTCTGAACCCCTTCTGACTCCGCCTCTGCTCCGTTGGCCACGCTTCTCGCCCCAGTCCCCGCCTCCACTCCTGCCCGCCCCTCCCTCTCTCGCCCCAGGCCCCGCCTCTGCCCTGTCCGCCCCTCCCTCTCCTCACCCCCGCCAGGCCCCGCCTCTGCCCTGTCTGCCCCTCCCTCTCCTCACCCCCCACCCCAGGCCCCGCCTCTGCTCTGCGTGCTGCGCTTCCTCCCCGCAGTGGCTCCCTGGGTGAAGTGCGTGCTGCTGCGTCATCGACAGTGGCCGGTTTGAATGAGAATTGTCGCACCGGAGCTGCCGCTACCCCCGCGCGTCCTCCCTGGCCGCAGCTACTAGCTGCGTCTGGTCCCTCTTCTGCCCTTGCCAGACCTAGCCCCTCGTGTGGTCGCCTCCCTCCACCGCCCGCCATGCCGCTGTACTCGGGTGAGCCGAGTCCTCGCCTCGTGCCCTCGTGGTCGCCGCTAGGCCTCCGCCCAGGACGGGCCTGCAGAGGCGCACGGGCCGGGGAGGGCCGGGGTGCGGGGTGCGGGGTGCGGGTGGCGGCTGCGCGAAGCCTCTTCCGCCCAGTCCTCGGTGGGAGCCCTGGCGCGCGTGGGACGCTTTCTGCTGGGCTGCTGGGTGTAGGGGGTGGGATCAGGAGTTGCGACCAGGAAACATCAGAGTCATGACTCTGCAGAATACTTTCTGATGCGGTTCTAGTGAGCTGGAAAGGTGAGGGTGTGGCCTGGGCCCTGGGGGACCAGGCTGGGGGTGCAGTGTGATTGCTTTGAGGTGCTCAGTGATAGCTGTGCAACGAGCAGGGAAGAAGGCTCGGGGTGGAGAGACCTGGGAGTAAGGTTTGCTAGCCTGCCGTCTGCGTGGAATTGCTCTCAATAGCTGCCCTTCGCCCACCCCTCTGGCTCTTTTGTACCAATTTTAATTCTAGCCCAAGGTAGACTGTAAACCAGTTCGTTTCAATTTAAGTATACCTTGTACTGGACTTCTATAACCGAAACTTAGTGTTAGCTTTAAGAGGTAGATGAATACAAATATGGGGGAATGCCGTTTCTTTAATTTTGGCATTTGAAAGGAGTCATTTGCTTGAATCTGTCCAAGGTATTGACCAGGGTCATCTTTAGTTAATGGACTTCACTGTTTACTAATTTAAAATGGCAACTAATAGGTATACGGTGTCCCCAGTTGGCTATGGGGGATTGGATATGTAATTCATTATTTCTGACTCTCCATTCTGGTGTACATAATTCCTTTATTAGAGATTAAATTTTTATTTTTGAGACAGGTTCTCTAGCCAGCTGGCTGGCCTGGAACTCCATATGTTCACCAGATCCACCTTCCTCTGCCTTCCCAGTGCTGGGATTAAAGGTGTGTATGTCATCATGCCTGGCACCCTCAGGTGAATTTCTGATAGTCTAGAATCTGAAATCCAATGCTTTAATAAGTCTAGAATCTTTAAGTCCCCTTTAAAAATATTTGTTATTTTTATGTGTATGAGTGTATTGCCTGCATGGATGTAAGTGCACCTGTATTATGCAGTACCTGTGGAGGTCAGAAGAGGGAACTGGAGTTAGGACAGTTGTTAGCCACTGTATGGTGCTTGGGGACCAAACCCCTTGGTCCTCACAAGAGCAGTCAGTGCTCTAAAGGCTGAGCCATCTCTGTAGCCCCACAAGTCCAATGTTTTAATAGTTACCCAACCATTTTCTTAAGTTACAGTGATTGGCAGAATGATTCTAGAAATAATCTATTTATTCAATATAGAATCTAGGGGGTGTGAATTAAGTAATACTTCAGTAGATTGGTAGGTTCACACACAACAAAACCAACCTCTTTGTTCCTACACAAAAATGCCACCAGTCGCTAAAATTTTTATCTTTAAAATTATATGGTAAGTCAGATCTTTTCCTTGTCCCCAAATGGGGGTATTGAAGTAGATTTCTAAGATCCTTTTCTTAAACATTTATATTCCCAGGATCAGCAAAAACCCCAATTAACATTAAAGTGAAGAAGACATTTTGAATGCTGTTTCATAAGTTTTAGTAGAAAACTGTCTAGATTTTTTTTAATAAATAATTTTTAAAAAATTAAAAAAAACCTCAATATTGTGGTCTGAGGAGCATCCATACTGGTGCGTATAGATCAGATCCATTAATCTGAAGTTAATGATACTCTGCTTTTAAAATCTAGAGAAAAGCAAGAGTATTCTCGCAGAGAGCAGTGCAGTAAGCTCTTCAAAGCATAAGTCCTTGTGCATTATTCAATAATTCCTGGAAAAGCAAGGATGGAGGTGCACTCCTCAGATCCCAACACTTGAGGAGTAGAGGCAGGTGGATCTCTGTGAGATGGAGGCCAGCTTGGTCTACATAGAGAGTTCTAGGCCAGCTGGGGCTACAGGGAGACCCTGTCTCAAATAACAACAATAACAACAACAAACCCAAAACAAAAAAAAAAATTCCTGGAAGATACAGGCATAGAGCATGATCATCTTCAACCTCATGGGACTTACCTGCTCTACAAGGCAGTCCATCTGTTCATTCCAATGTACATTCCCATCAGCACTAACTCTAAGAGCTCCTTCTTTCCCATTCTGAGCAACTTTGCTAGTATCAGACTTAATAATGATTGCCAAACTACTAGATATGAAACACTTCCTTGGTATTTTAATTGGCATGTCCCGTTATGTTAGTGAATAGGCCTCTTCTCACAAGCTTGTTGATTAACTGTTGAGATTCTTAAGTGGCTAAAGATAAGTACAGTAAGATTATTGAAAACCTACTGTGTGCCTAACACAGAGCTAGAGCTAGAGTTTTTATATATGTTGTTTTGCTTTAATAAAAATTCAACATAAAAATTCAACATAATAGTTTTTTTTTTTGGTGTTTTTGAGACAGGGTCTCCCTGTAGCCATAAACTGGAACTCACTATGGAGACCAGGCTGGCTTTGAACTAAAAGAGTTGGCCTGCCTCTGCCTCCTGAGTGCTAAGATTAAAAGTGTGCGCCACCACACCTAGCTTGAGCAAAAAGTTTTAAGTAGCCCATAGAGATGTGGCTAAATAAATTTCAGATAGGTTCTTCTCATTGTTTTTCTTTTTTTTTTCCTCTCTCTCCTGAATGAGCCTTTTTATTGTGGTAAAATTTACCTTGTAGGAGTGGGGTCTGCTTATGTCCTTTGCCCCTGGCTCTAACTTCTCATCTCAAGCTGTTCTTCTGCCTCAGTTCCCTGAGTAGCTGAGATTATTATAGGCACTTGTCACATCTTAACCATTTAAAAAATTTTTTATTATTTTAATTTTGTTTGTATGAATGTATTGGCTGCGTGTAAGTGCACCCATGTTGTACGATGCCTGCAGAGGTCAGAAGAGGGCATTGAATCCTTTGGAATTGGAATTACAGATGTTAGCTGCCATGTGGGTGCTGGGAACTGAACCTGGGTCCTCTGCAAGAACAGCCAGTGTTCTTAACCACTGAGCCATCTCTCCAGCTCCCCAAATTTTTTAAATTAAAAAAAAAAATTGTTTGGTCTTTTTGAGACAGAATCTCCTTGTAGCCCTAGGTAGCCTGAAACTTTCTCTGTAGACCATGCTGCTCTTGATCCCACAGAGATCCACCTGCCTCTGCTATGATTAAAGGGATGAGCCCATCCATTTTTTAAGTGTGAAGTTTTATGTCACTAAGTTCATACACATTTTTTTTTTTTTTAATGGTCTTTTTGAGACAGGGTCTCCCTGTAGCCCCAGCTGTCCTGGAACTCACTATGTAGACCAGGCTGGCCTTGAACTCACAGAGATCCCCTGCCTCTGCCTCCCGAGTGCTGGGATTAAAGGCATGCACCACCAGCCTCATACACATTTTTTAAAAAGATTTTATTATTTTTATGTATATGTGTATATTGCCTGCATGTAGGTAAGTGCGCCCGTGTTGTGCAGTGCCCGTGGAGGACAGAAGAGGCTGTCGGATCCCCTGGAACTGACTTTATGGACAGTTGTTAGCTGCCATGTGGGTGCTGCGATTTGAACCTGGGTCTTCTCCAGGAATAACTTAACCGCTGAGCCATCTCTCCAGCCCCCTCATTCACATTTTTGTGTAACCATCATTATTTCCAGAACTTGTTCATTCTTAAGCTGAAACTCCATTAAAACACATTTCCTCCTTTTTGAGTACCGTAGCCTCTGGAAACCAACATACTCTTGGTCTTTACGACTTTGACGTCTTTGGGTACCTCATATACATGGAATTATACAGTATTTGCCCTTTTATGACTGGCTTTACATAATGTCTTCAAGGATGATTTATGTTGCACATGTAAGAATTTTCTACTTAAGTCTGAATATTCTCAGTTGGGCTTCTTCATTCCCCCTCTCACGCCCCATCTTCTCCTTTCTTTCCCTTTCCATTTCTTTTCCCTTACTCTTCTTTTGTTCAGGGATCGAATCCAGGGTCTCATACATGCTAGCAAGCACTGAACCACTGGCTGCATCTGCATCTTTTTTTGTCTGTTGTGAATGGGGCTGTAAGTAGCTGAGTGAACAAGTAAACATTTTCTGTACTTCTGGGAGGAGTTGAATATAGCAATCCTGTGTTGAATTCTTTTTTTTTTTGAGGAAATACCTGCTGCTTCCCCCCCACAGCTGCCTTTACATTCTCAGTAGAGTGCACAGGTTTCCAGTTTCTTCACGTCCTTCTCAAAACTTGTTTTCTGTTCTAAAAACATTTTTGGGGTCAGCAGATGGCTCACTAGATAAAGACACCTGCTGTGCAAGCCTGGCAGCCTGAGTTGGCTCTCTGGGACCCACATGGTAGAAGGAGAGAACTGACTCAAGTTGTTTTCTGGCCTCCACATGCTGGGAATTGAACCCCATGCCTTCTGCATGCTAGGAAGGTGCTGTACCCCCGAGCTACAGCCATAAAGTTGAGTTAGATTTAGTAAAATGTTATTCATTACTTACTGCTATGCATATTATTTGTTTTGGGCATAAGATGAAGGATATAGTTTGAATATGTTATCCCTAAGGATTTTCTAAATTTGAAGTCTGTAAATGAAAAAAAAAAAAAGAAAAAAATTATGGTTTTGTTTACAGTTACGGTAAAATGGGGAAAGGAGAAATTCGAAGGTGTAGAATTAAATACTGATGAACCTCCAATGGTGTTCAAGGCTCAGCTTTTTGCATTGACTGGAGTCCAGCCAGCCAGACAAAAAGTTATGGTGAAAGGAGGAACATTGAAGGTAATATTAGTTAAATTATATAATATTACTATTATATAATAAAAATGATTAACACTAGTAACTATGTTTATTGTTAATGTAGCATTTGAAGTATTTTTTTTATACTGGCTGAAAGTATGACAGTATATACTATATTGCATTCAGACTTTATTAGTGAAGTGGAACATGGGAAGAACATTATGCCTATTTCAAAATATCATTTAAAATTTTTTTTATGTACCATTAAATTTTTTTTTGCAGAGAGAACCTCTGTTTTAGGAGTCAGAGGAATGCCACGTTATAATTATCTGTAATGTTGGATTTTTCTTTTTCCTGTAAAGATATGTTAATTTAATTTTTTGGACTAATGTAAAATTGGTTTATGTACCTTTAATAATTTTATGTTACAGAAATGGAAATTTTTATTGTTAAAAATGCAGTAGAAGTAATTCGTTATTCAAGAGAATCTTACTGTGTAGCCCTTGCTGGCCTGGAACTTACTCTGTAGACCAGGGTGGCCTTGAACTCACAGAGATCAGCCTGCCTCTGCCTCCTGACTGTGGGATTAAAGGTGTGCATCACCATGCTTGGCTGCCTAATTTATTTTTAAAAAAATAACAGAGGGACTGGAGAGATGGCTGAGCATTTAAGAGTACTGGCTGCTCTTGCAGAGTACTGGGGTTATATTCCCAGCCCCCACATGGCAGATAACAACAGTCTCTAACTCCAGTTCCAGGGATCCAATACCGTCTTCTGATCTTTGCATTGCATGACACAGGTGCATTTACATACATGTAGGCAGTACACTCACTCACACATAAAAAGAATAAATAAAATTTTTTAAAAAGTGAAAAAATTATTTAACGTATTATATAAATTAAGAGATTAAAATATAAATACGTAATAGAAATTAGTAAATATTTTGGATGCAAATGATAATAAGAATGTGAAATTTTATCTTTTATTTTTTTGAGGTCAGAAGAGGCTGTCAGATCCCCTGGGACTGGAATTATGGACAGTTGTTAGCTGCCATATGGATGCTGGGATTTGAACCTGAGTCTTCTGCAAGAACAACCAGTGTTCTTAACCACTGAGCCATCTCTCCAGCCCCAAGTACCTGGAAATTTTGTCAAAAGAGGGAGTGGTCTGTGGGCATAATTTGTTGCTACACAGTGCCTAACGTGTTAGGCCTCGAAGACTGATGCCCAGCACTGTAAAAAAATAAAGAAAAAGGAACTAATGTTTTCTGGTGAGGATAAGGGTTTAGCTTCAAAATATCTATAGGACCAATGATGAATGGCATTTAAAAAAGTCTTAATCATCCTTCCCTGAAGTGGACATATTTATTAATTGCCCCTAGATATGAAATTTAGTACTTGAGATCCATTTGTTGAAGAGTCTCTTGACCTTGGGTGATAAATTATTTAGTCATTTTAGTTATTTAGACCTTATTTCAAAAGTTATTCTTCATTCTTGGGGCTGGAGAGATGGCTCAGCGGTTAAGAGCACTGACTGCTCTTGCAGAGGACCTGTTCCCAACTCCCACATGACAGCTAACAGTCATCTGTAACTCCAGTTCCAGGGTATCTGATACCCTCTTCTGACCTCCATGGGCATTTCAGGACACAGGTGTTTTTCACATACATGCAGGGAATACACTCATACACATAAAATAAAAATAATAAAAAGTTTTTTTTTTGTTTTGTTTTGTCTTTTTGAGACAGGGTCTCCCTGTAGCCCCAGTTGTCCTGGAACTCACTATGTTAGACCAGGCTGGCTTTAAACTCACAGCGGTCCGCCTGCCTCTGCCTCCTGAATGCTGGGATTAAAGGCGTGCACCACCATGCCTGAGTAAATAAAATATTTTTTTAAAAAAAGTTATTCTTCATTCTTGTCTTATGCTAGGTGCTAATTAGCTCTTTTGGTTCTAAATATGAAACATCGGGATCTGTCATTTGCCAGCAGTTAAGTGTTTAGTTCTTGTTAACTGTTTATTTGTATGTTTTTAGTATGTGTTGCTGCCAGTACTGTTCACTGGTTTATATTGTGCAGTTTAAGCAGTTGTTAGATCCTTGTTTAAAAAAAGCTTTTCTTGATTTCAGTAATTTCGAATAACATCTACATATAGATTGGGCCTGGTGGCACATGCCTTTAATTCCAGCACTCTGGAGGCAGAGGCAGGCAGATCTCTGTAATCAGCCAGGACTGCACAGTTAAGAGTCCGTCTCAAAAAAACACAAAGCAAAACAACCACAGTCTATGTAAGGATAAATTTTATTTTGAGATAACTTCAAATTCAATAATTGTGCAGCGTGGCTAAATGTGTTCTATTTTGTCTTTGAAACAGGATGATGACTGGGGGAACATCAAAATGAAAAATGTAAGTATTAAGTATACTTACTGGTTACTATAATGCGATAACATAATTAATTCACCAGAGTAAATTCCATGGGCCTTTTTTCTCCCTCTTATCCAGTTGTTGAGCACCATTTATTCAATTTTTTTTTTCTCTTTAGTTAACTTGTATTAGACCCTTTCTTGAAAAATCAGTTGTGGTTCTATTTTGGGGCTCTTGCTTAATTGAACTAACTGATTAAAGTTATTAGTATCACATGGTCTTGATGACTGAAGCAAGTGAGTATTGAAACAAGATAGTGTAACTTCACCTTTGTCCTCTTTTCAAGGATATTTTAGCTTTTTTGCATTCAATTATAATTTTAGAATAAGTCAGTTTCTGCAAATGGACTCTTAGGGCTTTGTTTGAAATTACATAGGCCCTTAGGTCAATCTGAAGAGAATGAACATAAATTGAGTATTAAATCTTTGAGTATGGTATATTTTATATTTTGTTTAGGTCTTTAAAATTTTTTTTATTGTTCATTTTAATGTTAGGTACATGAGTGTTCTGCATATGTCTATAAGTGCAGCATCTGCATGCACTGCCCGCAGAGGTCAGAAGAGGGCATCATATCCTCTGGAACTGGTGTTAAGGATGGTTGTTAGTCACTATGTGGGTGGAAGAGTGGCCAGTGCTGTTAACCACTAAGCCATCTCTTCATCTGTAACCACCTCCGGGGCATCCTGTGCCCTCCTCTTTTTTTTTTTTTCTTTCGTCTTTTTGAGACAGGGTCTCCCTGTAGCCCCAGCTGACTTGGGACTGGTCTCCAACTCCTGTGCCCTCATCTGACCTCCAAGGGCATTGTATGACATGGGTGTACTTACACACATGCAGGCAGTACACTCATAGACATAAAAATAAAAAATTGTTTCCCAATACTATATTTTTTTAAGTTTATTTCTGTCTTGTGACTAATTAATTTGATAGTTTCAGTATTTTTTTGTATATTGTATTGAGTTGTTTACATATATGGGAACATTATCTGCAAATTATGAGTTCACTGTTTCCCTTTTAATCATTATGACTTTTATTGGGTATAATTGATAAACGTTTAATCTTATCTTTTTCAAGTTCATTAAAACTTAATGGCTGTTCAGTGTTAAGTCACTTTTCTATTTCTTGTTAATTTCTTTTGGTAATTTAGTCTCATTGACAGCACCCCCCCTTCCATCCCCCATCTTTGGGGTTGGGGGCTGCTGTATGCCCTTTCCCACTGAGAGGTGCATTCCCAGCCTACTCCCATTGATTCCTATGTGTTGTCCAGGTGGGCTTTGCCTAAACCTCACAAATGGGATTAAAGATGTGTGCCACTGCCCTGCAATTTTTAACATTAAAATTATTTTCCCGTCTATATTCAGTTCTTAAATTTCTTGGCTTTGTGATGTCTGTGCACTCTTAAATGTGACTAACCACAAAGAGTTTGTTGTATGTAGGCTTTATCCATTGATATTTATTATATTAGATAATAAGCCTGAGAAATTTAAAAAATATTATTCATTCATGTAAAAATAATAACAAAAGAGGCTGGTAAGATAGTTGAGTGGGTTAAGGGTGCTTGCTGCCAAGCCTGGTGATGTGTTTTTGATGATTAGAGCTCACATGGTGGAAGGAGAGACCTGACTCCCACATGTTGCCTTTTGACCGTCCCTTGTATGCTATGGTGCATAAATAAATGTCAAAAGATATTAAATAAAAAAGGACTAGAAGTATATAGCTTGTTGATAGAGTGAATGCTTGGTGTGCACAAGGTCCTGTGCCTTACACCCAAACAGGCAAACCAGTCTAAGTAAAAACAGTAACTATGTGATGTGTATTATATTTAATAGTATGTGTATATATAACTATGTATCTATGTATGGGTCTATATGTGGATATGTGTACATGTGAGGGTAGTTATCCAGGGAGTCCAGAAGAGGATATTGGATCTCCTGGAGCTAGAGGTCCACGTGTAGGTCCTCCACAAGAGCAGTAAACATTCTTAACCACTGAACCATCTCCTCTAGCCTCTAACAGTGTTCTCTCTCTCTCTCTCTCTCTCTCTCTCTCTCTCTCTCTTGTCTCCCCCTCCCCGCCAGGGTCTCATTATTAGCCCTGGTGGGGGCTGTCCTGGAACTCATTATGTAGAGTAGATTGGCCTTGAACTCAACAGAGGTCTGCCTGCCTCTGCCTCCTGAATGCTAGGATTAAAGGTGTGCACCACACGCCTGGCCTAACATGAATTAATTTCTTTCTTTCTTTCTTTCTTTCTTTCTTTCTTTCTTTCTTTCTTTCTTTCTTTCTCTTTCTTTTCTTTCTTTCTTTCTTAATTTTTTATATTATTTTTATGTGTCTAAGGATATTGCCTGCATGTAGGTAAGTGTACCCGTGTTGTGCCATGCCCATGAAGGACAGAAGAGACTGTTGGATCCCCTAGAACTGGAGTTATGGACAGTTGTTAGCTGCCATGTGGGTGCTGGGATTCGAACCTGGGTCTTCTGCAAGAGCAGTCAGTGTTAACCTCTGAGCCATCTCTCCAGCCCCGAAACATGAATTTCTTGAAGATAGCATATAGTGTGTGTGTGAGATGAAAGTAGAAGGGTAGAGTCTAAAGGTAGGAGGAGGGAACAGTAGAGGGTAATAGAGAAAGGCTACTGCATATTTATTACTTGATCTACATTTAAATGCATGTACACGTGAAAGCAGAATTGGAACTATGTGAGGGGAGAGGGATGAACAGTGTAAGGGATGAGGTAGAATTGGGGAGGGTAGTAGGGGAGCAGTATGAGCAAGTTACAGTGGTGTATATGGAAATGCCATATTCAATCTCATTTTGTATGCTAGCTAAAAAGAATTTAGTGTCTTGAATAAATGTAGATGATTTCGATGTTATACAATACGTCAATTTTGGTAATTTCTGTCTTGGAAGGAATTATTCCATTTCTGTTGAGTTAATTGGCATAATACGTTGATTTTTTAAATTTTACTTGTATAAGTGTATTGCCTGCATGCTTGTAAGTGCACCTGTGTTGTTCAGTGCCCGTGGAGGTCAGAAGAGGGTGTCAGATCCCCTGGAACTAGAGTTACAGATGGTTGTTAGCTGCCGTGTGGGTGCTGGGAACTGAACCCAGGTCCTCTGCAATAACAGTCAGTGCTCTTAACCACTGAGCCATCTCTCTAGCCCTATAAATGACATTGTTTTAATTTCTTCATTCTGTTTCAGATTTCTTAACCATTGCCATAGATGTAAATTTGCTAGATGTTAAATCATTTTGTAAAACTTCAAAACAGAATTTGATTACATTTATGTAATCGCATCTTTATGGTGATTACATTTTTTAATTTCAGTTAGAACCCTCTTATGTCCTTCCATTTACTTAGGCTTTTAAACATCCTTAAGCAAATCTTTATGTAGTTTTCTTACTAAAGTGCTATTTATTTCTTGTTACATTTGTTCTTTCTTTTGGGGTTTTGAGGGTCTCATTAGCCCAAGCTTGCCTCAAACTTGCTATGGAGCCCAAGCTGGCCTGGAACTCCTAACCCTCTGCCTCTACTTCCCAAGTGCTGAGATTACAGGTGTGTATCAAGCATGGTGCTCTTCTGTTTTTTTTTTACTGGTTATTGCTGGAGTATCCTTTACGTATTTACTTCCCAAGAAAGCTTTGGAAAAAGTTTCTTGAGCCAGGTGTGGTGGTGCACGCCTTTAATCCCAGCACTCTGGAGGCAGAGGCAGGCGGATCTCTGTGAGTTCGAGGCCAGCCTGGTCTACATAGTGAGTTCCAGGACAGCTGGGGCTACAGGGAGACCCTGTCTCAAAAAGACCAAAAAAAAAAAAAATTTCTTTAGTGATCTTAGTACTGCTTTGCTATTATAAAACGTCTCTGTAGAAATAAAAGAATGAAGGTTGATTCACATAGACAGTCTTAAGATTATGAATTTGGTGACCTTCCTAAAGAACACAGGCCCATTTAAAGTCACTCCACCTTTCCACCCCTAGATCCAGGTAAGATTTACCTTTTTGGCTAATGGAATCATGTGGCATGAATTCTTTAATGTTTTCCTTGTTCACTGAACATAAACATTTTCAACTTTTATTTTCATGTGTTTAATTTGTTTTGTAACAGGGAATGACTGTACTAATGATGGGATCAGCAGATGCCCTTCCAGAAGAACCCTCAGCTAAAACTGTCTTTGTAGAAGACATGACAGAAGAGCAGTTAGCATCTGCTGTAAGACACACCACATTTTATGTTGGGTCACTACTTTGTGTTTTGTTTTCAATTTCCTCTATTTTATGTGTCAGAGTGTTTTGTCTGCATGTATGTAAGTGAACCTGTGTTGTGCAATGCCTGTGGAGGCTGGAAGTTGTGGATCACTACTTTTTGAAAGACATTTACGATGTCTTTCAGAAAGTAGTATCTAAAGGTTTTGATTTAAGTATTAACATTGGTAGATGTTTTTAGCCATAAGAAAAAAATATTATTTTTGAAATTAGCTTAAATATATTCTTCTGTAGTCAGTGAGTCATAAAACTTTTTGTGTGTGTTGTATACTTTTATTGCTTTTCTTCAAGTGGTTTTACTTAGGCTTAACTTATATTTAACATTAAGTACAGTGTTCCTAATTCAGGGTTTGTGCTTTTAAGTCTCAAAACTAGAAGCTGTTTAGGACTATAACTAACATTGCTTTACAGATGAGGGTGTTATAAAATGTATACAAAAAAGACACAAATATAATATAAATTAATGTATAATAAATATGTATAGCCAGATAGCACTATTGAAATAGTTACTGTTTTATGAGGAAGAAAGGATCAAAGAAAAGTTTAAATGCTAGGATATTTAAATTATTAAAAAAATTTTTTTTATCTTATGTGTATGAATGTTTTGTCTGCATGTATATAAGTGCACCTGTTTGTGCACTTAGAGGTCAGAAGAGGCTGTTGGATCCCCTGGAACTTGACTTTACTGATGGTTGTTAGCCACCATGTGGGTGCTGGGAATCGAATCTAAGTCCTCTGCAAGAGCAGCCAGTGCTCTTAACCATTGATCCATCTTTCCAGCCCAGGTATTTGAATTCTTAAAACCATTCATGTTAAGCGGAGTTTATCCTGACTTTTTTTTTTAATAGTTCTGGGCATCAAACACAGGTCATACTATGCAAATGTTCTTCCACTGAGTACCTCCCAGCTCCTATCCTAAATGTGAATGCAAAATCAGTAACACCTGGCACTATCTAGTATCTTTTGAGATAGCCTCACTGTGTAGCCTGGACAGACTTGAATTCATGATCCTCCTTTCTCCTGGGTACTGAGATTGCAGGATTTCTCTAGCAAGTCCATCTCATTCTGTGAGTTGGTTATTTTAGGTTTTTGAAGTCTTTCTATGCATTTTTGCTATCTTTTTCTCTTGCCCATTCAGTAAGAGAGATAGGATTGATAGGGTTCTCTTGTTTTCCAGAAGAGAACTAAAACAGAATCATTGCCAGCATCATGCAAGTAAAAAACCTTTTGTTAGAGTATAAATTGACAGAGGTTGGTAAATGGTTTTTGACTGAGAGCATGAACTTTAGTGATGTCCACCTGTTGTGTCATTTTAGCAATGTGTTAATTCTCCTTTTTTTAATCAGATGGAATTACCATGTGGATTGACAAATCTCGGTAACACTTGTTACATGAATGCTACAGTTCAGTGTATTCGTTCTGTGCCTGAACTGAAAGAGGCCCTTAAAAGGTAAGACTGAAAAGAAATGGTCCAAATCTTTGGGTAGAGGCGACTCACATTTGGAGTAGCCCTGCTGTCACAGCATCTTGAGATTCGTTTATCATACCAATTCACTCTTGAGATAGGGACTCCCTGTAGTGCCAGCTGGTCTGGAACTGGTTCTGTAGATGAGGCTGAGGCGATCTCCCAGGGATCTGCCTGCCTCTGCCTCCTGAGTGCTGGGATTAAAGGCGGGCCACCACCATGCCCAGCTTAATTCACTCTTCTAATGTGCTTAGTGGTTTTTGTTAGACTTAGGCAAATATCACCATAGTATTTTTTTTTAATACCTCTCCTTTCCTAAAAAAGGAAACCCCTACTCATTGGTAATCACTTCTTTTTGTTTTTTGTGTTGTTGAGACAGGGTCTCCCTGTAGCCCCAGCTGTCCTGGAACTCACTATGTAGACTAGGCTGGCCTCAAACAGAGATCCGCCTGCCTCTGCCTCCTGAGTGCTGGGGCTACAGGCATGTGCCACCACGCCTGGCTGGCAATCACTTCTTTTAAAAAATTATTTTATGTGTATGAGTGTATTGCCTGCATGTGTGTAAGTACACCCGTGTCGTGAAGTGCCCATAGAGGTCAGAAAAAGGTGTCAGAGCCCTTGGAACTGGACTTACAGATGGTTCTTAGCTGCCATGTGTGTGCTGGGAATTGAACCCGAGTCCTCTACAAGAGCAGTCAGTGCTCTTAATCACCAAGCCATCTCTCCAGCCCTCTTAAAAAATTTTAAAAACATGTTTATTCTTTGAGAATTTGATACAGTTTTGCTCATATTTTGCTACCCACCTTCAGCCTTAGGCAGTCATTAGTTTCTGTTTTATAGATTTTCCATTTGGAGTATTTCATAAATGGAATCATGTGGTCTTCCAGCTGGCTTCTTTAACTTTGAATCCTAGTCTTAAAGGTTCGTTCATGTAGACCATTACTCTGTTAATATTTCATGATATACACACAGACTTTGTTCTTTTTGTGTTGATGGACATTTGGTTTGTGTCCACTCTTCGGTTATTACAGGTAGTGCTGCTGTGGACATTCATGTGCAGGTGTTGGTTTTTTTTTTTTTTTGGTCTTTTTGAGACAGGGTCTCCCTGTAGCCCCAGCTGTCTTGGAACTCACTATGTAGACCAGGCTGGCCTTGAACTCACAGAGATCCACCTGCCTCTGCCTCCCAAGTGCCGAGATTAAAGGCGGGCGCCACCACACCTGGCACCTGCAGGTTTTTGTAGACAGTCTGTTTGATCTCTCTAGGAGTAGATTGTTTGGCCATAAGGAAACTGTTTAAAATTTCAGTGAACTCAGAAATGGATTTCCAAAGTGTCTGTACCATTTTACATTTTTATCAGTGTGCAGTTTTCCATATTTGTACCTGTTCTTGTTACAGCCTGAATTTGACCACAGCCAGCCTAGAGGATGAAGTAGTTTTTTTTTTTTTAAAGATAGGGTATCCCGAAGCTACCACGCCCCACATTTGCCTATTTTTAATTGAATTAATTGCCCTTTTAAAAAATTCAGTAGTTGCTGGGCATGGTGGCTCACGCCTTTAATCCCAGCACTCGGGAGGCAGAGGCAGGTGGATCTCTGTGAGTTCAAGGACAGCCTGGTCTACATAGTGAGTTCCAGGACAGCTGGGGCTACAGGGAGACCCTCTCTCAAAAAGACCAAAAAAAAAAAGAGCCAGCTGTGTCTCCCCTCCCTGACAAAAAAAAGTCACCTAACTTGATTCTTAGTTTATAACTCTGTTAGACAAGTTGCTAGTTCTTATCTATGATGGGATTCTAAACCACAGTTTAAATTCTAGGCAGCTTTATAAGTGTAATTGTTCCCCATTTTAATAGTTTGTGCAGTGCTTTGGTAGAATTAAGAGCAAAGGGCTGGGGTGTAGCTCAGTTGGTAGAGTGTGTGCCTAGCACACATGAAGACCTGAGTCCGATCCTCAGCACTGCGTAAGCCAGACATGGTGCATATACCGATAATCTTACCACCTGGGAGGTAGAAGCAAAAGGATCGGGAGTTCAAGGTCAGCCTTGGCTCTCAGGAACATTGTGAGTTTGAGGTCAAAACTGGGCTATATGTGACCTTCAAAATAGAAAAAAAAGTAAAAAATGGAGAGCAAAAATTTGAAAGAATAACTAAAGATTACCAGTGAACAAGACATCATACTTACTTACCTTCGAGGTATTTATGGTCTAATAGGAAAATAAAAGACTGAGGAAGACAGGTACTGTTTTTGAACTGCTTTGATGGGAGATGTAAAAGAGTGCTTATTTAGAGGTGTGTAAGAAGAGTCTGGGGGAAGTTAGTGGTTAAATTGGGCAGGCATTAACCCTGCCAGGCTGAGAGGTAGTTGGAAAGTGAGAATGGACTGGAGAAAGTATTAAACAAATTTGTGGCAAATTTATCACAAGAAATGGTAACATGCACAGTAAGATGGGAGTATATACCGCATGGAGCGTGGGTGGTGGAGAATGTGATCCTTGGAGATGAGCAGTGCTCAGAGATCATTGGAGGGGTTTTGTTGTTATTTGTTTGGTTTTTGTTTTGCTAAAATAGGGTCTCATATAGCCCAGGCTAGCCTCAGACTTGCCCAGCCTGGTTTTTAAACTCTTTATTCTTTTCTCTCCACCTCCCAAGTTCTGTGGTTACAGATGTGGCCCACCATGCTCAGCTTTGTGGAGCAGTTTTGAAGGCATCCATACTTTGTGTGAGGCCACATGGAAGCTTCATTGAAAGGTTTTTAAGGAGAGTACTAACATTCACATGATTCTCTTGAGTTCTAGACACCTAAGGTTATAACATGGCTTGGTACAATCATACTAAGCCTTTGGTAATGTTTCAGAATACAAGTTTATTTTTACCTGTTTTTTCTTTTTGAGACAGGGTCTCCCTGTAGCCCCAGCTGTCCTGGAACTCACTATGTAGACCAGGCTGGCCTTAAACTCACAGAGATTGCCTGCCCTTTGCCTATTTCTTTTATCCTTATCAGATGATATACTGGTTGGTTCAAATGCCCTAAGTCGTCTCTCCAGTTCCATATAATTCTTGAATGAAGAAGGCCAGAAGAGAAAAAAATACCTCAAGAAATGTGAATTTGAGAGTGACCCAATATTTTTTTTTTTGCTAGTTTCTCATTTTAATTTCAGGATACATTTAATCATAATATAATACTTGAATGTTCCTAGGTATGCAGGTGCCTTGAGAGCTTCAGGGGAAATGGCTTCAGCACAGTATATTACTGCAGGTCAGTATGTGTACTGAGTGTATTTTATAGTCAGTAAATGGTTTTTTTTTTTTACCTGTAATGCACTTATCACCAGTTTTTTAACTACATTTATTTTATGTGCAGTGTGTGTGTGCACATATTGAGGTCAGAGGACAACTTGCATGAGTTGAGTTGATTGTCTCCTTACATCATGTGGGTCAACTTGTCGGACTTGGCTGCAGGCACTGTCACCAGTTGAGCTGTCTCATTGGTCCCTCATAGTCCTCCCTTTTTCTTTTGTTTTGGTCTTTTTTTTTTTTTTGGTCTTTTTGAGACAGAGTCTCCCTGTAGCCCCTGCTGGCCTGGAACTCACTATGTAGACCAGGCTAGTCTTGAACTCACAGAGATCTGCCTACCTCTGCTTCCTGAGTGCTGGGACTAAAAGAGTGCGCCACCATGCCCGGCCATAGTCCCCTTTTAATTAAAAAAATTTTTTTGTCCAATAGAATCTGGTTCTGATTGGACTACTTTTATTTATGTATTAAATAGCTTGGAGTATATCTGATTTACAAACCAGTGATGGGTATTCTTTTTGAAAATTAATCTGTTAGAGTGGAGCCAGTATTGTTGTCACCTTAGTACTTGGGAGCCTGAGGCAGGAGGAATTCGAGGTCAAGGTCACCTTGTCTTAAAATTAAAAATTGAAACAATTCTTTGGATTTTTTGTGTGTGTTCATGTTGGTGTATAGTTGTGTGTATGTGTGGGTGCTTGTGTATATGGAGGCCAGGAATCAACCTTAGGTGGTGTTCCTCAGGAACCATCTTCCTTTAATTTTTTTAAGACAGGGCCTCTCATTGGCCTGGAGCTTGCCAATTAAGCAAGGCTGGGTGGTCAGGGACCTGCCTGTTCCCCTCTCCCTAGTGCAGGGATTACAAGTGTGTACCACTACCTCCAACTTTTTTCCATGGGTTCTGGGAATGAATTCAGGTGCTTATACTTTTTGAGGTTAGCACTTTATTGACTGAGCAATCTCCCAAGTCCAAACCTTTGGATTTAAAAAAAATTTTTTTTTTTAAATTTTTTTTGTATATATATATATATATGTTATTGAATATGAGTTATTGCCTGCAATACCCGCAGAGTTCAGAAGAGGGCATCAGGTCCCCTGGAACTGGGGTTACAGATGGTCACCAGCCACCATGTGGGTGCTGAGAACCAAACCCAGGTCCTCTGCAAGAGCAGTTAGTGCTCTTAACTGCTGAGCCCATCTCTCTAGCCCCAAACCTTTGGATTTTTAATATTATGATTTTATTTTTGGGTTTCATTGGTTTATCTTTGGGAATGTCATTGGGACTAGTTAGGAATAAGTTTTATTATTGTATATGTGATCATTATTTAAAAAAATCTTACCAGCTGTCAGTATAAAGAATAAGGATAAATCTAAATTACTATTTTAGTGGTGCTGATGCTTAAACCTGGGTCTGCATGTAAGCTAAGCATATATTCTACTATTGAGCTAAAGCCCCAGCCTTGGATATTCTTTCTTTAATTTTTAATTTAATTTAATTTTTATTTTTTTGGTCTTTGTGAGACAGGGTCTCCCTGTAGCCCCTGCTGGCCTGGAACTCACTTTGTAGACCGGACTGGCCTTGAACTCACAGAGATCCACCTGCCTTTGCCTCCTGAGTGCTGGGAAGAAAGGCGTGCGCCACCTCACCTGGCTTTCTTTTTTTAGTTTTCAAAAATTTTGTTCATTTTGAGTTCATTTGAGTGCTTTGCCTGTATACATGCATGTAAGTGCACCATGTGCGTGTAATGTCTGTGGAGGCTAGAAGACGGTATCAGGTCTCTTGGAACTGAACTTTTACCTATTGTTAGCTGCCATGTGGGTGCTGACCCAGCTTGGGTCCTCTGCAAGAACAGCCAGTTCTCTTAACTGCTGAGCCATTTCTTCAGCCCCCTTTGATATTCTTCAAAGGATAGAAATAGCTAGTTTCTTTATTCTCTAAGAAGAATTTGGATATTTATAAATGAGTATCTCTCCTTTCTTTTTATTATTGCGATAGGGTATCACTGTAGATCAAGTGGGCCTTGAACTCAGGCTCTTATGCCTCAGCCTCTTGAGCAGTAGCAGGATTCTAGGTGGGGCTCTCCATGCCTGGGTAGAAATGAGTAGTCTCTTAGACCATTAAACTAGATAGGTGTGCTTTTTTTCCAGCAGTTTTTTGGTTTTTTTTTTTTTTGGTCTTTTTGAGACAGAGTCTCCCTGTAGCTCCAGCTGTCCTGGAACTCACTGTGTAGACCAGGCTGGCCTCAAACTCAAAGAGATTGCCTGCCTCTGCCTCCCGAGTGCTGGGATTAAAGGTGTGCGCCACCATGCCTGGCTTTTTCCAGCAGTTTTATTGAAATACTCACATACAATGCATTTCTTTGGAATGTGTCAGTCATTATTTTGTGGTGTATTCATAGTGTTGTCCCATTGTCAGGATTAATTTTAGGACATTTTCATTACTATAAAAAACCATGTATTAAATGTGCCACTGTTTTTCTAAACCAATGTTTGTTTTGTTTTTAAGCCCTTAGAGACTTGTTTGATTCCATGGATAAAACTTCTTCTAGTATTCCACCTATTATTCTACTGCAGTTCTTGCACATGGCTTTCCCACAGTTTGCAGAGAAGGGTGAACAAGGACAGTATCTTCAGCAGGTAATCAGGGAGAGGCTTTTCTCATTTTGTAAATGAAAAACTTAGATTATCTTTTTGTATATATTTGTAGGGGTGTGTTTCTTTCTGTGTGTTAATGTGGGCACACAAGTGCCACAGCATTCTTGTGGTGGTCACACGACAGCCTTGGTTGTTAGTCCTTGCCCTCCATCTTGTGTGAAACAGGGTCTCTGTTGTTTTTCCTTTGCCTACTCCAGGCTAGCTGGCCTGCAGACTTCTGGGGATTTTCCTTTCTCTGTAGGAGCACTGGCTACAGAGCTTGCTGCATGTGTGGGGATTCAAAGTCATGTTCTCACACCTGCAGAGCAAGCACTTCAACCCTCACCCCCTCGAGCCATCTCTCCAACCCCAAGCTTAAGTTTCTTATACTTAACATAGTCACTGAGCATATTTGAAAATAGAGGTATTGGTCTCTTCTTGTTCACGTCATTATCTCTTTAGAAGGGGGCTGTAAACTTAGCTGGTCATCTTGATTGTATTTTTCCACATGGGCCCCAGTGGCCTTTCAAAAATGTAAATAAGGGTAGGTGATATAGCTAAGTGGTAAAACACTACCTTGGCATTCATGAGTCTCTGGGTTTTTATCTCTAGTACCAAAAAATAAAGTAATTAAAAATGGATTCAGGGCTGGAAAGATGGCTCAGTAGTTAGGAGTGCTTCCAGAGGACCTGAGTGTGGTTCCTAGCCCTCATGTTAGGCAGCTTACAACTGCCTGCAACTCCAGCTCCAGGTGTTCTACTGCCCTCTTGTAGCCTTCACGAGTACCTCACATGTGGCATATTCTCTCTCACACACACATGCACACACACTCTTAAAAGATGAAAAAAAATATTAACTGAAAATAATAATAAATAAATGGGCCATGCATGGTGGTACACACTTTTAATCCCAGCACTCAGGAGGCAGAAGCAGATGGATCTGTGTGAGTTCAAGTCCAGCCTGATCCTCATAGTGAGTTCTAGGCCAGCTAGGGCTACAACAGGGAGACCCTGTCTCAAAAAAATTTTTACAAAGGCATTATATTGGTTCTTACTTGGTACTCCACAGTGATTTTCTGCTGCAGTCCTAAATCCAATAGCCCCAGCTCCCTCTGAATTTATCATATACTTATCCCTTGTTCACCTCTCTAGCTTGTGGCTCCTTGAAACATGTTCGATAATATAGCACGAGTAGGAACTCAAAATCTGCTGGGTATTCAAATCAGTATTCTAAATTCCTCATTTCTTGGAAGATCTTATCAGATTTGGTTGTATTTATTGTTTCATGCATGTTTAAAAACATTTAAATTGCAATTTTATTCTGTGTGATGTGTGTATATGTGGGGGCATGAACGCTACAGTGCATATGTGTAGTTCAAAGGATAACTTTTGGGAGTTGGTTCTCTCCTTCTACATTGTGGATCCCAGGGATGGAACACAGATTGTCAACATTGGCAACAGATGCCTTGACCCACTGAGCAAACTCACCAACCCCTATGTGTGATTTTTAATTGTTTTTGCCTTATTTACTTTTATTTTATGTGTTTGAGTGTTTTGCCTTTATACGTGTACCCATGCCCTTCAAAGTCTGCAAAAGCCAGAGGAGGGCATCAGATCCCCTAGAACTGGAGTTAGCTGCCATGTGTGTGCTGGGAATCAAACCCAGGTCCTCTGAAAGAACAGCCAGTGCTTTTAACCACGAAGCCATCTCTTAAGCCCTGTTTGTTAGGTATTTTTAAAGACTTTATTCATTTTTATTTTATGTGTATGATGCTTTAGCCTACATGTATGTAAGTGCACCTGTGTCATGCAATGCCTGTGGCGGTCAGAAGAGGGTGCCAAATCCTTAGGAACTGGAGTTAGGATGATTGTTAGTCACCACGTGGGTGCTGGGAATTCAGTTCCTCTACAAGAACAGCCAGTGCTCTTAACTCTGAGCCATCTCTCTAGCTCCCCCCGCTTTTTTTTTGGAGACAGTCTCTCTCTGTAGCCCAAACTTGCCTCTTAGTTTAATATATATATATATATATATATATATATCTCCTAGGCTAGTCTTGAACTCATGATTATCCTCTTGCCTGAGCCTTCTGAGTGCTGACGTTAAGATGTGCTCTGCTGTGTATAGTTAGCAGAAGTTTAGTTTGTTTTGAGACAGGGTTTGGCTATGTAGCCCTGGCTAGCCTGGGACTCTATGTAGATGAGGCTGACCTAGAATTTGTGGCAATTTTCCTACCTCTGCCTCTCAGGACCTGAGATGGTAGTAGTTCACCATCATGCTCAGCCCTGGATGAATAGTTTTTAAAGAGAAAATGTCTTTCTAACCTAAGGAAATAGTAATTTTTCTTTAATATTTTATTTATTTTTGTTTTATGTTTATGAGTATATTGTCTGTATGTATGTAAGTGCACCCATGTCATACAATGCCTGCAGAAGTCAGAAGAGGGTGTCAGAGTCCCTGGAACTGGAGTTACAGATGAGTTGTTGGCTACCATGTGGGTGCTGGCAATTGAACCCTGGTCTTCTGCAAGAGCAGCCAGTGTTCTTACCACTAAGCCATCTCTGGCCCTGAAAACAGTAGTTATTTTGGAAGGACTTTATAGACACTGTCATGGGCAGCACTAATCCATCATGTTTTACATTACAGGATGCTAATGAATGTTGGATACAGATGATGCGAGTGCTTCAGCAGAAGCTGGAAGCCATAGAGGACGACTCTCTTAAAGAGGTAATTAGCTCAGTGGAGGCCCCGAGTTTGGTCCTCAGTTGGAGGGGTGGGGACGACACGGGGGTGGGGTGGGGCACGGCGACAGGGCGACAACAAAATAAGAAAGAGGTAATTTGAAATGTCTGATTAGAGACATTGATTATGCCACTTAAAAATAAATAAACTTGCCGGGCGTGGTGGCACACGCCTTTAATCCCAGCACTTGTGAGGCAGAGGCAGGCGGATCTGAGTTCAAGGCCATCCTGGTCTACATAGTGAGTTCCAGGACAGCTGGGGCTACAGGGAGACCCTGTCTCAAAAAGACCAAAAATAAATAAATAAATAAGTAAATAAGTAAATAAATAAATACTTACCCACTGAGCCATCTCTCCAGCCCCTAATTAGGCTACTATATTTTGGTTTCTTTGTCTTCTCTCTTTGAAAGGCTTTAAATAAATATATCTTACTAGGTAAATATGTATTGGAATATTTCAGTTGTCTACCCTAGACTTGGAATTTGATAGCTTTCATTTTAGTGCCTGTTTAAATATAATCTATTGATGATTTGTTTATCATGTGTAATCTGTTGACAATGTTTGAATTACAGAATGAAATTACAAAAGGACTACATTTAAAAAATTTTCAATATGTATTAGTAAACTGGGTTGTGCTGAAATCTACATAAAGTAAAACTAGAATTTTTATTTTAATTTTTGCAGACAGATTCTTCATCTGCATCAGCTGTGGCACCTTCTAAAAAGAAAAGCTTAATTGATCAGTTCTTTGGGGTTGAGTTTGAAACTACGTATCCTTATGAGCCAAAATGTGTATAGACTGTGTTCCTAACTTACAAGGAGTAAATTGTTCCTAAAGAACATAATTAGCTGATTGGTGTGGGAAGACAGAAGAAAAATGCATCAGAGGTTTCTGTACCTTAAAGTATAATAATGTGGGGCTGGAGAGATGGCTCAGCAGTTAAGAACACTGGCTGTTCTTGCAGAAGACCCTGGTTCAAATCCAAGCACCCACATGGCAGCTAACAGCCGTTATAACTCCAGTTACAGGGGATCTAACGCCCTCTTCTGTCATTTACAGGCACTGTCCAGTGTAGTTGCACTCACACACCTATAGGCGTAACACTCATATACATAAAAATAAATAAAATTGCCAGGTGTGGTGGTGCGCCTTTAATCTCAGTACTCAGGAGGCAGAGGCAGGCAGATCTCTGTGAGTTCAAGGCCAGCCTCTTCTACATAGTGAGTTCCAGGCCAGCTGGGGCTACAGGGAGACCCTGTCTCAAAAAGACCCCCCCCAAAAAATTTTTTATTTATATTCTATGTGTATGAGTGTATTGCCTACATGTATGTAAGTACACTCATGTCGTGCAATGCCTACAGAGGTCAGACAGTACATTGGATCCCCTGGAACTAGAGTTACAGATGGTTGTTAGCCACCATGTGGGTGCTAGGAATTGAACCCAGGTCCTCTGCAAGAGCACCCAATGCTCTTAACCACTGAGCCATCTCTCCAGCCACCCTGTGTTTAGTCTTTTGAGACAGGGTTTTAGAGTATAGCCCTGGAGCTCAGACTAGCTGGTCTGAAACTCAGAGATCTTCGTGCCTGTGTCTAGTGCTGAGATTAAGGCGTGTGCCACCATGCCCACCCTAAGACTCTTTTAAGATCATACTAAATGCCAGTTTAAATTTGCTAAAAGTTTATTGTGGTTAATCTGCAAAACATACTCATTTTTGTTTATAGAGGTGCTAGGAGGCAAATAGGCACACCTGAGTGTATTGGAGTGAATCTCTGTAAGATGAGTGTTTTCAAAACCAATAAAGGGTTATTAATACTTGATAATTTATTATATTCAAGATTGTGTAATACACTGAGTGCCTGTTGCCGTTCCTTATCTTATTTTGCAAAGCATGAAATGTACAGAATCTGAAGAAGAAGAAGTCACCAAAGGAAAGGAAAATCAACTTCAACTTAGTTGTTTTATCAATCAGGAAGTCAAGTATCTCTTTACAGGGCTTAAATTGGTAAGGAAATCAAGGTTAATCTTACCATTTGTGGGATCTATATTTGTAAATACGCCACTTTGCTCAATTTTATTTGTAAACACAAAGACAGCAGTCACTGTGCTTCATCTTTTGCAAATTAATTGCAGAGCAGCACAATTTTGTGTGTGTGTCTGTGTATGCAGGTGCATTGTATGTGCAGGTGCGCTATTTGTGAATGTAGAGGTCAGAGAACAGCTTGGGTGTGTCGTTCCTCTTCAAGCACTGGCCACTTTGGATTTTAAGGCAGACTGATTGCCCTGCAGCTTGATGAGTAGGCTCAGCCCACTGACCAGTGAGACCCAAAGATCTGCCTGACTCCCCCTGCCCCAGCACTGGGGTTATAAGTGTGCCACCTTGTCCAGCTTTTTACATGGATTCTAAAGAGCCAGTTTGGGTCCTCGTGCTTGTGTGGCAAGTACTTTATGGACCCTACTATTTCCCCAGCCCAGTAGCACAAACTTTGAATTGCATTCCATACAGGTAGTTCCACATGAACTCAAATAAGGCATTGCTCTGCTTCTTGTAGTTGATTTGGGTGTTTAGAATTACTCCTGAGCATACAGTGTTCCTAAGTACAGGAATGATGTGATGTGCCTTACCAAGAAAATGCATGTTAGAGATTGAATTGAGCATGAGTTATGGTGCTGTTGGTTGCAGGTTCAGCACTGTATATAAAATGTCTTTAAACAAACACAAAACACAATCTGTTGATTGGTTTCTTATTTATTTTTGCTAATTTTTCCATATATATTTGACTTTATTAGATATAAAAAACATCATTAAAAACAAACAAACATCATTTTAGTTTTGGCTTCCACTCACCTGACAGACTTCCATCCTCTTTCAGTCTGTGGGTGTCTTTATAAGCAATGTATGTTTCTTTTATTTGTTATTTTTATTTTATGTGTGTGCGTGTATTGCCTGCATGTAGGTAACTGAACCCATGTTGTGCAGAAGAGGCTGTCGGATCCCCTGGGACTGGAGTTATGGACAGTTGTTAGCTGCCATGTGGGTGCTGGGATTTGAACCCGGGTCTTCTGCAAGAACAACCAGTATTCTTAACTGCGGAGCCATCTCCCCAGCCCTGACTTGTGTAGTTTTTGTATCACACTATGATTAGATTTTATTACCAACTTGTAACAAATGTGGCTGTTAGAGATCAATATCTTGCCCACTGTCTACAAACTGCACATCCATTAGATCAACAGGTTTTCTTTTTTTTAATTAAGTTTTTGAAAATTAATTTTACGTGTGTGGATGTATTGTCTGCATTTATGTAAGTGTCCCCATGTCATGCAAGGCACACAGAGGTCAGAAGAGGGCATTGGATCCCCTGGAACTGGCGTAACAGGTGATTGTTAGCTGCCTGTGGGTTCTGGGAACCAAACCCTGGTCCTCAGAAGAGTAGCCAGTGCTCTAACCACAGAGCTCTGGCTCTAGCCCAATTAACAGGTTTTCTGTGTGTTACAGCTTCTCAGATTTAAAAATAACCTCATTGTTCCTGGCAGGCTTTTATATGTACAGCATAAAGAAAAATGTTCCCTGTGTTCTCTTACTTTCTGCTATGAGTATTCTGATAACTCAGATGTAGGAATGACTAAAGACTTTGGTTACAAAACTTTAACCATATTCAGAGGAGTTCTTAGCACTATTCATTATTTGATGCCTTATAATAACTGAACAAAGGCCAGGCATGGTGGCACATATCTTTAATCCCAGCACTTAGGAGGCAGAGGCAGGTGAATCTCTTGAGTTCAAGGCCAGCCTGGCCTACATAGTTCCCGGCCAGCTAGAACTACAGGGAGACCCTGTCTCTTAAAGACCTCCTCCCCCGCCCCCCCAAAAAAATCAGTATCTAAAAGCCTTGCATGTTGTATTTATTCAAACTGTTTCTCAGTGGGTTAAGTCTGTTGATGTATTAGATGTCTATTAAGTAGTGCTTTTTTCTCTTTTTTTAAAGAATTAGCTGTGTGATTCTGTGTTATAGAAAACAACTTTAAATTTGATATTTGGCTGTCTATAATGTCCTTTTTTAGCGACTTCAGGAAGAAATTACCAAACAGTCTCCAACATTGCAGAGAAACGCTTTATACATCAAATCTGTAAGTTTTACATTTCCTTTGAAATTGAATTCCATTTCATTGAAAGGGTTCCAGGGATTGGAAGGGTGGCTCAGCAGGTAAAGTGCTTGCTGTGTAAGCACGAGATTTGGAGTTTAGGACCCCTTCCCCCCAGAAGCCAAGTAAAAGCTGGGTATGCATGGCTACCCACCTCTAATCCCATCCTGTGGGAGGTGGAGACAGGGAATCCCTGAAGCAAGCTGGCTAACCAGAATAGCCAGAACTGTGAACTCAGGGTACATTGAGAGACTCCCTCCAGTATAAAGGTGGAGAGCAATCAAGGAAGACACCCATTGTCCCCCCATATGCATATGCACAAATGTGCACTTCCACACATACATGCCACACACATGCATTCACATCACATACTTATGGAAAAGGGGGGGGGATTTTCCACTTAATTAATGTTATACAAGCTTTGTTTTTACCACAAAGAATTAAAATTTGTGTGGTTTTAGATATAAAGGATTTCTTCCCATTTTCTCTCCTTAGTCTAAGATCAGCCGACTACCTGCTTACTTAACTATTCAGATGGTCCGATTTTTTTATAAAGAGAAAGAATCGGTGAATGCCAAAGTTCTTAAGGTTAGTAATGAACTTCAGTTTGTATATTAAATACAGTCTTTAGAAGGCAGTCCCTAACCTGTAATAGATTTCTTTATTTAACCCTTAGGAATAATGAAGCTTTGAAATATTTAGAGGAGGTTAACAGTAGACAAGAGATTCTTAGCCCACGATGCTTATTGAAACGATGTATTATCCCTTCTATTACGCTTGCCTGGCTGCTGCTTCCAGCCTCGAACGTCTAATTAAGTCTTGGGTGGAGTCTGGGTTTTATATTTTTTTCAAAGATTCACAGATAATTCTGGGTATATCTTCCACTTCCCAGAAATATTGCCCCAGGTTAGATCCTTCACTTCAGAGTTGCTCATTAAGGGGATTTGGATGAAAGTGAGGACAGCCTTTCCTTTAGGTCATTAGAGCCAAACCACTGGCGCCTACAGAGTACTTAAATGGATTATCCCTTGATTTCGAAGCCAGCCTATTGAACTGTGTTGAACTGTGTAGCTTTGCTGTGTGACCACAGAATTCCTAGTCCTTGGGGAGGTATCTAAATCTAGCCTATCATGCTAAAACTCATAGCACATTTTCTGATAGAATAATATGAGACGGTTAAATGTAATTTAGGTTTCTACTAGCATTTACTGTTAGTTTATTTTAATACAAGTTACTGAACTATTATCGGTATTGTTTCTGTGTAAAATATATTTCACATTAAAGTAAAACACTGGTGCACTGACACCAGTATTGGGGCACCACTACTTTCATAGCCTGTAGCCTAGTATTTCTGAATTGCTGCTTCTGTCATACAAGGTTTGGCACTGTCTCTGTGGTCAGTTGTATGGGCTCAAATAGGTAATGGAAAAAGATCATGTATGAAATTACAATCAGATCATTCTTTTTTGTTTCTTGTTCTTTTTTTTTTTTTTTTTCTTCTTTGGTCTTTTTGGAAGAGGGTCTCTCTAACTGGCCTGGAATTCAGTAGACCAGGCTGGCCTTAATCTCACAGAGATCTTTCTGCTGCCTGAATGCTGGGATTAAAGGCATGTGCTACCATACCCAGTGCTGATCTCTTTTTTAAATATTATGTGTATGAGTGTTATGCCTACATGTAGGTAAGTGTACTCGTGTCATCCAGTGCCCATGGAAGACAGAAGAGGCTGTCAGATCCCTGGAACTGGAGTTACAGACAGTTGTTAGCTGCCTTGTGGGTGCTGGGATTTGAACCCGGTCTTGTGCAAGAACAGTCAGTGTTCTTAACTGCTGAGCCGTCTGTCCAGCCCTGATCATTCTTTTTTAAAATTTAGATTTTGTTTGAGAATTTCATACATGCATATAATGTGTTTTGATCAAATCCATTGTCTCTAACCTCTTTTAATTCTTCTGTCTCCTCTTCAGTTTTATGTGTTCTTGTTTTTTTTCCTTTTTGAGACAGGGTCTTCCTGTAGCTGTCCTGGAACTCACTGTGTAGACCAGGCTGGCCTTGAACTCACAGAGATCCACCTGCCTCTGCCTCCCAAGCGCTGGGAGTAAAGGCGTGCGCCACCACGCCCGGCTTATGTGTTCTTTTTTAAGCCCCTGAGCCCACTGAGTGCTTCCAGTATGCAACTCATTTTGAGAGCAAGTCTGTAGAGGTTTTCAGCCACAGTCTTGCACAGATTTTATTTTCATGTTTATTTGATTTATGGAAGTATTACATTGAAAGTGGTTTTGAAATAACTTTTTATAATAACTGTCCTTTTATATATTTTTTTCTTCTTGGTTTGTAGGATGTTAAATTTCCTCTTATGTTGGATGTGTATGAACTATGTACATCAGAACTTCAAGAGAAAATGGTTTCTTTTCGATCAAAATTCAAAGATCTAGAAGACAAAAAAGTGAATCAGCAACCAAGTGCAGTAGGTTTCTGCTGGTGACTTTCAAATGTTCATTTCATACTGTTAATCTCCTAGTGAAAGTGGGGAGCCTGCATTTCCGTGAGGAAGTGTACATGTCCTGCATGTGCTGGTGTTGCCCTTCAAGCTTATTAAACGTAGCATAAGAAATAGGAAATTTGCCTGTGGAAAACCAGTCTTCTATGCATAGGTTCAATGCTTTCTTTCCCCTGAAATCTTATATGACTTTTATATTCGTCTTCTCAGTGCATTTCACAGAAAATCTTTGCATTTGTAGTGTATGTGATTATTTTCCTTGCAAGTCATACAATTATTCCCATTTGTAGCAGGAATTGGAGGCATAGAAAATTGGTTCATGAATACACATTGAGAGCCAAGGCCTCCTTTAACAAGTGCTGCTGGTGTGCCTGGAAATGGTAAAATCATAATTGTAGCAACTTTTTATTTTTTAAGTTATATTAAGTTAGATATATTGATTTTTATTTTTCATCAAAACTAAAATTTCTTGGTAACTAGAAGTTTTTTTTTGTTTTGTTTTTTTGTTTTTGTCTTTTTGAGACAGGGTCTCCCTGCAGCCCTAGCTGGCCTAGAACTCATTATGTAGACCAGACTGGCCTGGAACTCACAGAGATCCGCCTGCCTCTTCTGGGATTAAAGGCCTGAACCATTGTGCCTGGCTACTAGAAATGTTTTTGAGATAGTGTCTCCCTCTGTGACCTGGCTATCCTGGAACTCACTCTGTAGCCCAGCCTGGCCTCTTACCTGTGATGATTCTCCTGCCTCATCCTTTATAGCGTGGAGGTTAGAGCTGTGAGCCACATTGCCTGACTTGAAAATTTTTTTTTTTTTTGGTCTTTTTGAGACAGGGTCTCCCTATAGCTCCAGCTGTCCTGGAACTCACTATTTAAACCAGGCTGGCCTCAAACTCACAAAGATCCACCTGCCTCTGCCTCCCGAGTGCTGGGATTAAAGGCATGCACCACCACGCCCAGCTGACTTGAAATATTTTAACATTGAACATTTTAAGTCCTGAAGATTACCATTTGCATGTGTGTTCAAATAACTTTTTATTTATTTATTTTTTTTATTTTTATTTATTTTTTGGTCTTTTTGAGCCAAGGTCTCCCTGTAGCCCCAGCTGTACTGGAACTTACTATGTAGACCAGGCTGGCCTTGAACTCAGAGATCCGCCTGCCTAAAGGCATGTGCCACCATGCCCGGCCTCAAAGCACTTTTAAAAAGATGAAATTTGGAGCTGGAGATATGGCTCAGCGATTAAGAACACTGGTTGTTTTTGCAGAAGACCCGGGTTCGAATCCCAGCACCCACACAGCAGCTAACAACAGTCTGTAACGCCAGTTCTAGGGGATCCGACAGCCTCTAATGTCTTCTGTAGGCATTGCGCGACATGGGTGCACTTACCTACATGCAGGCAATACATGCATACATATTTAAAAAAAAAAAACCCATAAAATTTTAGAATTGTATGCAATTATAAGGAATAGTACTGGTATCTGAGGTTTTTTTTAACCTAGTTTTCCCAAGTAGTTAGCAGCTGGCAGAACTATAACAGGAAACAGTCAGGCTGTCAGTGACACAGCACATTTCCATCACTGCAAAGATCCTTCATAAGTGCCTCTTTTTTTTTTTTTTTGGTCTTTTTGGGACAGGGTCTCCCTGTAGCCCCAGCTGGCCTGGAACTCACTATGTAGACCAGGCTGGTCTCGAACTCACAGAGATCCACCTGCCTCTGCCTCCCGAGTGCTGAGGGATTAAAGGTGTGTGCTACCACACCCGGCTAAAAAGTATTTTAAGCATTTTATTATTTTATGTTTATGAGTGTTATGCCTACATGTAGGAAAGTGCACTTGTGTCATGCAACGCCTGCAGAGGACGGAAGAGGCTGTCAGATCTCCTGGAGCTGGAGTTACAGGCAGTTGTTAGCTGCCACGTGGGTGATGGAATTTTAACCAGGTCTTCTGCAAGAACAGCCAGTGTTCTTAACCGCTGAGCCATCTCTCCAGCCCCTAAAGATCTATTTTTTATGTAACCTTTTGGGGTTGATTTATTACTAGTATGATTTGCCAGGAAGTCATCCAGGTTGTTGTGTATGGCAGTACCTTCGTACCTGAGTAGTAGTCCCTTGTGTTGGTCTGCTGTAGTTTGCTTAACCATTCTGTTAAAGAACATCTCCATTGTTTCCAGTTCTTGTCTCTTATAAATAAAGCTGGTAAAAATGTTCTTTTACAGATATTAATGTAAGCAGGAATTTCATTCTCCTGGAATGAATGCCCAGTAGTCAATTGCTACGTTGCTAGTAGTGTGTGTTTAATTTTTCAAGAGACTGTTGAATGTTTCCTAGAGTGGCTTTCCCACTTCACATGTCCGTCAGCAGTAAGTGACTGATCCACTTTCTCACCAGCATTTACTGCTGTCAGGTTTTCATTTTAGTCAGTGGTGCTTCTTATGCTTCCTTTGCATTTCCCAAGAGTTTAATGATGTTGAATATGTTTTCATATGTTCATTTAAGAGTTTTATAGCTTGATTGTTCATTTAGATATTTGATCCATTCTGGGTTAACTTTTGTGTGGTATGATACTCAGATTCATTCATTTGCATTTGAATATCCAGCTCTCACAGCATCTAACAAAAAAAAAAGGATGGCGGGGGGCGGTCTTTGCCATCTCTAGAGAATTGGTTGGCAATAGATGAGTGCGTTTCTGGAGTCTTCGGTTTTATTTCACTGGTTTGTGTTTCTGTCCTTAGACCATACTACAGTGTTTTTGTTTGATTTTTTTTAAAGATGGACTCATGTAGCCCAGCCTGGCCTTGAATTCTTCCTGATGCTTCTCTCTCCAGGCTTCCAAAGTACTGGGATTCCAGGCATGTACCACAATGTCTTGACTAGTGCAGTTTCCCTCTAAGTATTGGATTAGTGAACTTCAACTTTATTATTCTTACACTTTTTATTCTTTCTAATACTTCTGCAAGTGGCACTGCTTGTTTTATTGTCAGATGCTCCTAGTGTTCAGAAATAGTTTACTTTTTTATATTGATCTTATATCGTGAGCTAGCTTTTTTTCCCCTTTCCTAGGTTGTGTAGAATGGTTTTTTGATGTAATTGTGAAGATAAATTAGTATCTGGAGATTTGTTTATAGAGTTTGTAAATTATGATTCAGCTTCCTTCATAGTTACAGCATTGGTCAGGTAACCTGTTTCATATTGCTTTGGTAGTTTTTTGTTCTTACAGACTAGGCAAATTTCCAATCTGCCTGTGGAGTTCTTCCTGGTATTCTTTCACTGTCCTTTTGGTTTCTGCAAGACATGTGGTAATCTAACCTATTGCTTTACTGATAATATCATTTATCATTTTTCTTCTTGTCTGAGGATTTGCTCTATTTTCTTTTATTTGAATGTCACTGATTTGGGGCTTAAGTTTTTCATATTTAGAAGATGAGCTGGCAATGAGTTCTCACTGGTTTCATGTCTGTGTAAATGGCAAATCATACCATTTTTAGTGTCTTCTCAAATGGTTCATTTCAGCTAAAATGAAGGATGGTATGGCTTATATTTCATACGTTGCAGAAACTTGATTTAGCTACAGTTTGGTTCATGTTTTGAAAAATTATGAAATTGGGATTTCCTTTTCTGTCCCAGGGTAGTGAACTGCACTGCTAGATCCTCTGGCGTGTTTTCACTTTATGTCTAAGGCCATGTCGCTGTACTGTAGTAGCATTGTATACTGTTAAAGACGATCTTTGGCTTTGGTTTTTGTGTTAAGTGTAGTTTATCATTTAAGTACTTTGCAAGGTAGACATTTTGTTTCATTGATTTATGGTCAACTGAATATTTGTGTAATTGCCCAACAAGGATATATATGTTTTTTCCAATGTCATGATTTATACTTTTTTTCCCCTTAGAATGACAAGACAAGTAGTCCCCAGAAAGAGGTTAAGTATGAACCCTTTTCATTTGCTGATGGTAAGTGGATACTTTTTCTGTTACTCTGTGAGTGCACATGTGCATGTTTTAAAGTCAGATTACCTGTTCAACCATGTATCTGCTCATATCACGTTTTTCTTTTTTAAAAAAGGTTTCTTTGCCGGGCGTGGTGGCGCATGCCTTTAATCCCAGCACTCAGGAGGCAGAGGCAGGTGGATCTCTTGTGAGTTCAAGGCCAGCCTGGTCTACATAGTGAGTTCCAGGACAGCTGGGGCTACAGGGAGACCCTGTCTCAAAAAGACCAACAACAACAGCAAAAAAACGTTTCTTTGTGTTTTTGAGAAAGGGTCTCACTGTGCAGCTAGTGCTGGCCCCAAACTTTTGGCTAACCACTTGCTTTAACTTTCCAAGTACTAGCATTAGACATGAGCCACCTGGCTTAAATTGAGATTTCTTGAAAAATAATATAGTTTGTTAGTATAATGTAAAATCACTCTTGTAGTGGACAGTTGTGGTTGGTATACTTCTTTTTTTTTTTTTTTTGGTTTTTTTGAGACAGGGTCTTCCTGTAGCCCCAGCTGCCCTGGAACTCATTATGTAGACCAGGCTGGCCTTGAACTCACAGAGGTCCACCTCCCTCTGCCTTCCAAGTGCTGGGACTACAGGTGTGCGCCACCACGCCCGGCAGTATACTTCTTAAAACATCATCTGTAGACTCTTAACTCTGGACTGTAGTATCTTAATGGACTCTGGAGCAGTGTTGCTCCAATCTTAGCTTTCTTATTCTTGCTTGAGAGCATGCCTGTTGCCCAATACTAATTGATTCACCTCTCTTTAGACATTGGCTCCAATAACTGTGGCTACTATGACTTACAAGCAGTGCTAACGCACCAGGGAAGATCTAGTTCTTCAGGTCATTATGTATCCTGGGTGAAAAGGAAACAAGGTAGGGTTTTTTCAGTTGTTAAATACTATATTACAAATTTTGCAGCACTGTGTGCATCTTTGAACTTCTTTAAATTTTTAAAACAATTTTAATTGCATGTAGCTTGGGTTCACATGTGTGAGGGTGTACATATACATATACATATACATGCGTATGTGTATACACATACACATAGGCTGGAGATCCATATTGAGTGTCTTCCTCTATCACTCTCCACCTTATTTTTGAGACAGGGTCTTTCATTGTGCCCAGAGCTCACTGATTGGCTAGACTGGCTGGGCTTTGAGCTCAGGGATCTGTCCCGCCAGCCCTGCTCTCTGCACCCCTCCCAGTGCTGGGGTTATAGACAAGTGCCACCATACCAAGCTTTTGCCTGGGGATCAAACAGATTCTCTTTGCTTGTGCTGCAGGCACTTCATTGACTGAGCAGTCTCAGTGGCCCCTTCTTTGTCTTCAAGGCTCTCAAGCTTTTGTTTATATCAGTATTTCCAGTATTAGCAGTCAAGGCTGAGATAGTTCATTTAAAATTAACAGTAATAAACTCATTACATATAAATATTATAAATCACATTTAATGAATTTCCAGAGCAAAAGGCTTAATGTGAAGTGCAAATTTGCATGTCTTCCTATTGTCTGGCTTAATGGAATACAGCTATATTCTTGTATTTTTGCTTTTTTGTTTCTTGATGGTACTGGGGATCTTGCATATGCTAAGCAAGTGCTCTACAATTGGGCAACGTCCACAGTGCCCTTCTTATCTGTGTCTGCATTCAAACTTGCATCATTACACAGCTCGTGGCTTCTGGAAAAGTGCCAAGTACATTGAGAATGAGGGCAGAAAGGGCAGGTAATGTAATATCCAGTAGTTGCGACAGCATGGAACCCTTGAGTTGTCTTGAACCTGCATGGTATCTGGACCACACTTTGAGAGTTATTGGTGGGCAGGTGAACGACTCCTGTGCATTACATTAGTTCCTTTTTGGCACTGAACTCTGAAAGTAACTGTACATATTCCTGTTTAGATGAATGGATCAAGTTTGACGATGATAAGGTCAGCATTGTAACCCCAGAAGATATCCTGCGGCTGTCTGGAGGTGGAGACTGGCACATTGCTTATGTTCTACTCTATGGGCCTCGCAGAGTTGAAGTAATGGAAGAAGAAAGTGAACAGTAATCTTCAGTTAGCTATTTATGCCTAGGTGTGAAATAAATGTTATTTGTTGATCATTTCTATAATCTAGAGCTTTAAAGGAAGGCATTTTTAGGTGGTTTTAGCTGTTTTCCCTTGTATGGAACAAGGGAGGGCAGAATGGGACCACTTGTGCATTAACCTTGAAATTACAGAAAACTACTTTTGGGTGTGCTGCCATGTGTAAAGGTAGCTGGAAGACATTCTTTAAAAGCTTATTTCTTGGAATATTCTAAATTCTTAGTTGAAATGCATTTTTCCTTGCCTTTTCAGCCCAAGAGTCTGCAATGATGTTTTTTGCACACCTATTTGTTCTTGCATGGTTAATGTCACCATTCAGTAGCTGCCCATCCTTTGCCTTATCTAACAATATTTTTCTAGGAAGGTGGAAAAGGAAGTGTTCTTGTGTAACTCAGTGCTGCTGTCCACATCCCGTCAACTGGGTACAATCAAGTATTTGTCCAGCCTGACTGTTGCTGGCTTTTCATGACTTTACAATAAATTGTGATCACTAAGAGTACATTTTGATTATACATTTATTATTGTGTCTCTCTCTAATGTACTATGGTTTGTATATTTAACTTTGCATTGGTTTTGTAGTAATCAACCTTAATGTTGACAAGCTTTGGTTGCTATTTTTAGAATGAGGATATTTAATAAAAAAAAGAAAAAAAAAAGAGGGATCAACAGGTTCTGACCTCTAGTCTTTTGTCTTTTTAGTGTTGGGGCTTGGCTGAAGATTCAGATGTATTTAATTCTATAGTTTCTGCAGATGGCTACTATTCTTGTGCTGTTTAAAATACAAGTGTCTTTTTAGCTTGTCCAGTACCATCAAAGAAATGTAAAATTAATGGATTGCTTTTGATGCTGAATGTTGTGATAGTCATCAGGTTCATTCCTTGGCTCATGTGGTGTTTATCTTCTTGTTCCCAAAGTCTGTATGTCCATTTCAAAATTTAGTAAGAATGATTTCTAAAGTATACAATACCAAGAGTATTTGAATGAGATTGGTTTTTATCATATTTCAGTCTAGTCTCGTCAGTCAGTTGCTTATAAATATTTAAAGGTTTCAGGAACCTTGATTGATTGCTAAGGAAAGTATAGAATATTAGCTAATTGGTCTAATTTTGAGTTGGGTATTTATGATAAAGTTTGGGGAGCATCATATCTTTGATCTTCGCTTATGTTTTAACATTCTGCAAAGCACAATATTGGTACCTAATATTCCCATAGAATGGCTATTTTCCTCAAATCTGTAATCTAAGACTCCGGGATAAAATAAGCATTTCAGGGATACTCTTACAGTTTCCTTACTTAAACTCACTTTAATACTTTTTACATTGAAGTGAAAAGCAGAATGGGAAGGGTAATCTGTGACTGATGATTTGTGAAGCCTGTGACTTTGCAGTCTTTTATTTACTGTCTGTTTTGGTCAGAACAACTTCAGTAGGAATGAATTTAACAGCTCTAAGATTGTCTGACCTGCTGGATGCTGAAGCTACTAAACCAGCTGAAGTAGGTTTAGAACCAAGTTTGTACAAACGTTGCACAGAAGGTATTAAAGCTTAAAAACTGCATTTCCTTGTCATTGCAAAAAGCTCAATTACATTTTATTATTTGATCCAAAAAAGCATTGTTCCAAAGATATTCTTAAAGTAGAAATTGGATTTATACCAGTGTTTTCTTTTAGAATTCAGCCTAGTATGTAAGGTCTTTGAGAAGGGAGACTAGGCAAAAAAAAACCCCACTCAGTCAAAAAGCTTCTTGATTCCTGAACATGCCTTATTTGCTGTGCCACGATCACAGAGGAGACTCTCATTAGAGCTTTGTTTGGTCATTGCCTGCCTAGCCAGTGGAGTGAAGCCCAAGCAAGACCTTTATAGTGGTCTTCCCTCAGTAGCCCTTCTTTAGGATCACTGATAATGAGCTGTGCTCAGCACCCTGATGAGTAGAAATAGGAATAGATGAGTCTTACCTTTAGCCAGTGCTGTACACACATGCTATGTAGACTGCTTTCATATATGTCTCATTTAACTTGAAAATAACCCCAGGGTCATTTAAGAAATTGAGAAGTCAAATGATTTTTGTAAAGCTAAAGGAGTGGGGTCCTTTAGGGGCTGGCAAACTAGTTGCTTGCAACTACTTTGCTGCTGTAGTATGACAGGTGGCTAGGAGTGAGCATGGCAGGGTGCCAGTAAATTATAGTAAAAACATCTAACAGACCATTGTTTGCTGATCCTCTGCTTGAAAGTGAGAAAAGAACAGTAAGGTTTCAGAAGTGTCATTCTGGGAGTTCAGAATTTTATAACAAATTAACAGCATTCAGGAAACTAATTTGGTACATACTCAAATACTGCATATTTAACTTCGTTATAAAAATACTTAACAAAAATAGTTTGATCTTGAGGTCATTTTTCTTTGGCCATTTTCCCAACCCACCCTCCCATACCCCCAAACTCTGAGGTTTGAGCCAACGTGATGTGTGTTCTGTTGTTCTTGGAGCACCAGCCAACTGTACAACAATTGTTATAAAAATGTTTATTGTTTACCAAAACCAGTGGACCTCTTATCAAATGCTGCTTGGTAACAAAGTCTTATCACAGTTTTAATAATAAAAAAA